TGAACCAGTAACGTGTTTTATTACTTAATAAAATATCTGTGAAACAAGAGCTGCAGTTACATGATATTCTGATGCAGGACATTCATGTGTCGTATATGTCAATAAATTTAAGTGTGAAATGACTAAAACACATTAATTCTGTAATTCTATATTTGCAACATTTTACAATGACATCAGAATTTTTTATGGTTTTTATCAATTCTCAAAAATGATCTAGAATAAAGCACGAGAGCACTGCTGGACGCATTAGTATCTTGTAAACAGTGGAAATAACAGAACTCATCTTGTTGTACCTTTTTAGATCAAATTAATGAAAGTACAGTGAGGCTTCTACCTGAAAACACCAGATTTCCGATCCACTAAGAACTTATATCTGAAACTTAAATCTTCATTGGAGTAGAAAACTTTGTATTAGGGGTCAATTTCACGTTTTCATGGAAGAGATGGCAGCAACTGATCAGAAAAATCTGCATATGTGGATGTGTTTACAGTACTTCCGTATTGCTGTTTTCTCTTGGATTTTAACTTTCTCTTGCTGGCCACAAGAGGCTGCTGACAACCTCACAGCAGTAATTATATTCCAAACAGAGTCTTCATGTTTGTGGGTCTATGTTGTAGATATTAATCAAATTCTCTAGGCCCTCCCTTCAGTGAATTTGGTATGCGGTCAGGGAGTGTTTCACCCAGCCCTACCTGAATCACTCAGGTTGCTCCCTATGTTTTTGTGCTATTGATCCTATTTCATCACATCTACGCCTCTAACTAGATTTAATTGTTGGGGAAACAAAATGTCAAAAGAATGTTTGTCGAAGGACTCGCGTCCTAGTGTTGGATTATGAATGACCCCAAGACCGTCAGACAGCTGGGTGTACGTGCTTCTCAAGAATGCCCAACCCACACGATGCTGACTCGCTAAAGAGGGGCACAACTAAACATTCAAGTAGTTATCGGTTGCCCATCTGTTTCCTTACTGCCTGGAACATCAGGGAGGGGGAACATAAGAAATACAAAGTCACATTCCCAGATTTTCTTTGGTGAAGTAAGTCCAGTTTGTCACTCAATTTGCACTGACCAGTTTGAAGAAAAACTGGCTGAGTGTTTTCTTTGTTTCCATGTGGGAATGGTCTACATGAATCCGTACTCTTCCCAATGACCTTTGGCCCTGATACCCGCTCACCACAGATTATTGCAAACCAGCAGCTGGAAAAGTTCCTGTATTTCGCTGCGACGTGTCACGCGTTGCGACCGCTCTGATTCACTCGGTATCAAAGTGATAATGATGTCCTACGGGTGTGATATTTCTATTTTGAGACAACCAAAATAAATTCCGGCATTCAGATGCATTCTTTAAAGGCTTACTCAAAAATTCGATTTATGTCACACTGGTGCAGGCTGGAACAGCTGCTCTGACTTTGACATCAGACACTGATAAAGATAGCCTTGGTTCCCTTGTGTTGGCATTAGTTACCCAGAACTCTGGCAGTGAGATGAGGTGTGGCAGCACATTCATCCTCTGCTTAATTTACTTTTATACCGCCTTTATTAGATGCTGCTCATTGTCGGGATATGTGGCCGTAGATTGTTTATTTAAAGCGCGTACAGTAAATGCAAAGGTCTTTGTGAATGGTTGGCTATCCTGCCTGCTAGCTCAACTTAAAATTATTTACCTTGTGAACGCACCATTGACAAAGAACCAGTACTTTGTGGACAATACGCAGCGGATAAAACAGCTTTTCTTTGACTAGAGGTGGAGGACACATCTCTCAGCCTCTTTATCTTTTTTTAACTTGCTTTGTGGGGTTAAGCAATATGGCTGCTGTTACAAGCAGGGGCCTCTGAGAACATGTTATCAGTTGCCTGCCGTTCAAGAGGGGGGAGACGGTGTTATTCCCCAAAGTACTTTTGTTTTAGTTGTGGTTGGATGTCAAGAGTGGACAGTTTCAGAGTGTGGTTTCACATCAGACCGGAAATAGCTTTATCAATAGGTACGTTTTTGTTCTGTGATTTCAGGCAGAAAATAGCCGAGAATGATAAAATGCTCCTGTAAAACAAAATGACACTATGTTTATTACGGTGTCTTTTACAGTGGGGCATGAGATTTAAGATTTTGTCTGTGGTGGTCTTTTACTCTCTTCAGTTTATTTTATCCATCGTGTTTATTAATGTCTGCATGCATGTGCCGATTAAAATGTATCAAGTTGCTGGATGAAAACATCCTGAAATCAGTTCAGTCATCTGCTGATGAAGACCTGTTGTTCCTAAAGTTTACCATTTCTGATTGTAAACTATCTTGTTGAGCAAGAAAAAATGTAAATAAAAATAATAATGATGATAAAGATGCTGATAATAATCTGCTTCAAACAGCAAAAATGATCTATCCCCAAGACTACTAGATGAGAGTTTTTTCTTCAATAAACCAAACTTACTGAAATAATTTGAGAAATAATGAATTAAAAAACAAAAACAAAAGTGGCACCAATGATTCAGAGTATTTCCTGTGCTAAAAACTCCTTTCTGAAAAAAAAACAGAACAAAAACTTAAACATAAGCACACGTGTTAGTTGATCTCTGCTGTGCTGAATATTACTCCCCTGTATCCAGATTTGATTGTCACCTTCATTAACAGTATTTCTCAAGATCCCTGTTGAGTGTCAGTAGCTGAACACCCTAAAGTCCTCTAACTTGGGATCTTTTATCCACTTTTTCCCCACTCTTCTGCAGGCCTGTAGGTTTTTTCATTTGTTTGTTTTTTTTCCAGCAGTGTGACGATGCTATTGCTTTTATTCTTATGCAAGATGGCTGATCTGTTTACATCATAAAGTAGATCCTGGCACGCATGCTGTCAGTCAGTGAGTTCATCATGTTATCAGTAAATCAGGCCTATGTTTGGCACATTTTCGCATTACGTTCCTAATCCTTGTCATATATCGAGCGGCAGCAGCACACTTACTCATGATGTAACCGTGCTGTAGCTTAAGCAAAGGGATGTGTGCACAACTTGTCCCTCTGGTGCAACTAGGTTACTAATGCTAAATCTAAAGATATCTGTTCTTAGCATTAGTGGAGCATCATGTATGCTGCTTTAACTGGTGTTTGCTTGAGTAATGGTCTCTTGCTCGAAATGTTTCATTTTAGCTGTTGTGTAATGAGGTGAATATGACTGGCCACATGTTTGTGTACAAATCAGATTTGCTGCCGGAGTTTACAGATTAGAGACGCATGGTGGAGTCACCGGGTCCCTGTGTTTGTTTTCATGTTGTTAAATTGATCCATCAGAGTGGAGACAGACAAAGACCGCTTGTTGACCCACTCGCTGGTGAGTTGTAGTTTGGATTGATTGCCGAAGGTTTCTCATCTTCATGATTTTAAGGGAAAACCCTTAATGTAATCCCAGAAGGAGGTCAAATTCTAACAGGCATCACAGGCTGTTGTGATAGCAGCAGGTCTTGCCTCTTAAAACATAAATTTGGTTTGTTTCATCTTGTTAGGAACTCAACAGTAAGGCCAAAGATATTCTGTTTAATTTTTCTAAAAAAAAAAAAAAAAATCGATAACACAAACCCATCAAAAAGCAAAAATCTAGAAAAAGAAAATGCCAACCAAGATAAATCTGTTTACAAACAAAACTTACCTCTAACAATGAACGCACAGGGAGATTGATAGACAAAGGGTAGCCTGTAAGAAATGAGGAGGGACGGGGGAAGGACACCAAGACAAATAAATGCACTTAGGGATTTAATTCAAGCCAATAAATTATAACTTCAACACAAATGTGACAACTGAGAACATCATAACATGAAGATGTTTCCATTTCTCAAGTGGGATGTTGAGACCACTGTATTTTCTCCAGAGTCAAATATCTCTGCTTCCAAAAGTCTGTTGGATTCCTTCACGTCCTTGTTGTATCAAAAAATTCAATTTCTTTAATAAATAGACAGTTGATGACCTAAATAAACGGCTTTTATCAAATATGTGAGCCCATGTTAGCAAACAACTGCTTTAAATCAATATTGCAAAAAATAAGAAAATATGATCCAATATGCTGATGTGGAAAACAGCTAGGCATGGATTATGTAAATAGTTATAAAGAGATATATTTATATCAGTGCCAATTTACAGACCATCCCAAGACACATTAAGCTCAGTTGCTTACTCAAATTAAAATTTTCCATCTAATGCTGTGAACAACCTTCATACATTCCTTTTTAAAGAAGTGCAGTGTGTTGTGTGGTGTTCAACCATAACAACAGGGTTTGTACAAACCAGTGGAAAAACTGGATTCGGTGAACCTAAGAAAGAAGGACAAGTGTTTTTAGTTTCTTTTCACAATTATTGTGTTGTAAATACATAAAGGTTTACTGACCCAGCTTTCCCATGTGGACATTCTGTCACTTTTTTGATTGTCAGACGACGGACTATGTAGCTAACTATATCTCTCTGTATAGTTAGCTTTTCGAGGACAGCTGTTGAGCTGCAGGACCGGTAAATTTCCCATCATTCCGGGGCAGCGAAAACTGGAAGTGGATGTTTGTTTGAGGACTAAAGATACACTCCTGTTTTCCCATATCTAGTTTCTTGGGTTGCCCAAACAGTGTTTGGTGATGCTTTTAATAGGCAGAGTTGACTGAGTTGGTAATCATTCTTTGAGTTTGACATGCCGGGCCCCCCTCTCAATTGCCCATCAACTATAATAAGACCTGGAATGACTGGCAGCTGAAGCTTGCAAAGGGAAGTCAAAATAAAAATCAGAAAGATTGGATGTTAAGTAGTTTGTAATATGTGTGATGAAATTATGGCTTGGCCTGCAGTTATTTTATCTAGGAGTACTAAATCCTATGTTGTTTACTTTTAATTTTTCTTCTAATTATGTCTTTCAGTCTCAGTTTATTTCAGATTATTATCCTGTAATGTGTAGCCTTCGCGGTAGGTCCTGTTTTTAGGAATCTCATGGTTCTGTAATGTCAAGATCTCATCCAGTTGGATTTCCGGGCTCTTATCAAGGACAAAGTTTTGCCAAAGCATAGTGTGCGGAAGCTTTGTACGAGAAACATCAGTAAACACGAGCAGCGCATTTTCATATCAAGGTGCATCTTCCCAATTGATCGCCGAACATTGCAGGCAACAACAAGTCTCGTCTCTTTACATAACCTTTCCACGAGCACGGAGGAATGTAAACTGAAAAGGGCAGATCCACCGCTCACACCCCTCCCGTCCCCACACACACAGTCCAAGTGAGTCCCACACACATGCACCCAGTCACTCCTTATCTCCACCAACAGCTTTGAAGCAAGAGCTCCTTGACCCATCCACATGTGTGTACGTGCACGTTAGGTAGAGTCAGGAACAACAGGCAAGAGCTGAGGGTTTTGTGACCAGATCTGGAATGGGAGGGAATGTCACAGTAACAGCTGCTCCCTTGCATTAAGAGGCTCTGAGGCTGACAGAGGACAATCACAGGGACATACCCCCAAAGAGACCCTCCACTGTGGTGAAGTCGCAGTGCAGATTGCCTGTGGTTTGCGCGACCGAGAGAGGGAAAACGCTGGATTGAGGCGTTGTGTTTGCGCGTGCGACTGCCCCATCCTGCCTGGAGCAAAGATGAGGATGAGGGAGCTTACTTTACGTCAGGATCCCGACCTCAGGAAGGAGCTGGCTCTCCTGGCGCGGGGATGCGACTTTGTTCTGCCTTCTCGGTTCAAGAAGAGGCTCAGAGCCTTCCAGCAAGGACAGGCAGGTGTTTTTATTGAGTGTGCTGAACTTTTGTGTTGTACGTCATCGTCGTTTCTCGTTCTTAAAGTGGAAATGAAATGGTTGTTGAACTTTCTAAAGGAAATGTAACAAGAAGTTTTTGGGGGTTTTTTTCTCTCCAAAGATGAGGGGGAAACTTTCTTCCACCTGATTATATTTCTGTTTCGGTACATTGTGTCCAGCTGCTTCCCTGTCCTCTTTCAGACCACATCATTTGCAATGTGCAAAATGTCATGTGGCTTAACAGTTGTGCTCAAGAGCTCTGCAAGCATGAAGCGAGAGAGGGGACAGCGCAGGGCAACAGGAGATGTTTATGTCCTTTTATAGCCATGGCTGATACCAACACAGAGCAGTGACAAGCAGAGGATCAGCAACATTTGTCATTTGTCATGATAAAATAAGCAGATTATCACTTGTGGTTTACAAGCATCTTTTGCACCAGGCCCAGATTTCAAAGGCCTTAATAAGCTGTTGTTGAAATCTTTATTGATAACGGATCAATACAAACCCCAGAGGCATTATTTAATATTTTAACAAGTTGCCGTGTGGGTGTGTTTTTCTTCATTAGTCACAAATTGATTCATTTGTAAATCTATTAGCAAATGGACTTGAGTGCAAGATTATGACTGGGAGTAGCATCATGTTTTTAAGTTGCTTTATTAATGGATGAACATAACAGTACTGCAAGTGGTTTCATCTGTCATTATATTATTAAAGTGCAACACTCTTATTATTTGGTTGAACTTCATGACACTTTGTGATACACAAAAGAGGGATCTTAACAGTGTCATCTCGTAACTCCAAAGTCCTCACAGTTTTATATTTAAGTGGTTTCCAGGTGAGTTTGTGGTGATGGTGATTCTTAGACAAGCCTAAATATCTGCTCTGTTTGTATTGCCACTACAAAGGAGGACAATTACAGAAAACAACAAACATCCCACATTAACAAAAGCATCACAATCACAAAAGAAATGAAGCTTCTTATTTGGTATCATTTGCTGATGAATGAAAATTGACTAACAGTTTGTGTTTGTCGTTCTGTGATTTCAGTCTTTGATTGATGTAGTAGGTTATTGTTCTCTAATAGAGGAAGAAGATTTGAATCCAATAGAAGATGGAGAAATTCAACAATTATTCTGATTTCTGCATCAATGCATCTGAAGTGGGAATACTCTAAAACTTTTTTTTTTAAATCACTTAACCCAATACAAAGGAGTCTATTTACTTGTTCTTGTTAGATCCAAGTAGATGAAGAAACACATTTCTGTCTTCCTTAGATTTGAGTATTTGTATATTAGAAGACCGTTGCTGTTCAAGAAATAATAGCAGGCACTTCATCAGAACCCAGCAGAGCACCAGTTTTCTTTTTCTTTCAGAGATTATGCAGCTGCTTTATTCAGCGTTTGTGTCATTGGGAAGAGTACAACGGTTATCAATGTGAAGCGTTAAAGCATGATTCAACCCCTACAGCCTTGGGATGAGTTGGGTTCAATCAAGTTCACCTTTTATCAATTAGACTCTGTTGGTGTGAAAACAAGCAAACCAGAGAATTCACCAAGAATATGAACAATTTATTGCCTCCGATTTTACTAATGAGAAGTTTAAAGAACTATATTAGATTATGTAATATCCTATGTAAATTGGTCTAAAATGTAGGGGTGCACTAATCAGTCACCTCAGATTTTAAATTTTTTGATAATATATGAAACCCATCTTATCCATTGATCTTACCTGTCTCCTTGAAAATAAGCCACTTTTTCATCTACTCTGCAGGTCGATGAGCAGCCTGAAAACTGTAATTGGTTTTCATTCTGCTGAAAACCAATTACAGCAGCCCGTAATTGGCTGCTGTAATTGGCTGTAATTGTAACAGCTATTAAAAGCTGGTTTTTTTTTTTTTGTTTGTTTGTTTTTTTTCAGTTTCTGGACATTTAAATGTTCAAAATTTTTAATTTACAGAGAGAAAACGATAAGAACTGAATGTTTCGAGTTTGGGCAGGAAAAATAATGGTGTTACATCATGTAGGATTAAAATGTGAAACGGGGTCCTTTGACGAGAGAGAAGTATAATTTTATAAACAAAATAATATCCACTAAGAAGCAGAATGTTGTAGAATATGTTGATGTGATCTAATGAATTTGGAATTTTTCTACTAATTGAAGGGCTTTAGCTGAGCACTGAGTTAGCACACTGCTACAATAGTCACAATAAAATTTACCACTATGAAAAATTCTCTTATCATATCTCTGAATTAACAAAAAAAAACACACACACACACATTAGTAGCCAATTTATCAGTGTTGCATCAGGACAGGTGACTCAACCTGATGTTACCCAGACACTTGAGCAAGCTGCTTCTTATGCAAAGATCCATAATACAAGACAGTTACAAGTTTTTTGCTCCAATAGCCCTTTTAGAAAAAAGTGTTGGCAGAGCATTAAAAGACATTAGAGTTCACGCTTGAAGATTATTTACTTTACAAAAAGTTTTCTTTTTAAGTTAAAAATAACAGAAAATATGGAATATCCTTGCAAAAATCTACGCTATTTTTGCAAGAAACCTTCATTCATTTTAGGTGAAATAATGCGTTTCATTTGTGAAACAAGAAATGCCAAATTTAAAACTCGAATTTGGTTGAAAGTAAAACTGAATTTGAGGAAAAATAAAATGGTATTTGGAAAATATAAGGCTGCTTGTCATCCTTTCCGTAAGCTTTATAAAACAACTTTTATGCAGATGTGCATTGGTGCACTTTACTTGATGAATCAAAAGCAGTTTGTGTTTAAGACCAAGCCAACTTTGAACTGTAAGTTTTGCTTACTCGACATGAGTTTGATGATTTTTATGACCTAAATGCTTCATTGTGTTTTCCTTTTCTTGAAAGGTTTTGCATTTGCCGTGATAAAATGGAAGTGAGGATTTTACAGAACAGACACTGTGGCATATTTTTGCCATGTAGCTGGCCCTCTAACTGTGGAGCCCGAACATGTCTCCTGACAGAATTTAAAATTAAATGCCCCTATAATCAAACCATTTAGTCTGTCGTTTACACATATCATACTACTGCCTCTAATCAGGTAGCAGTTGTTTTTTTGTTTTTTGTTTTTGCTCCGTGTAAAGATGTCTCTGCTTGTTATTTTTCTTTAGTGTGAACCACAAACATTCCTGCATCATAGCATTGTACTCCATTGGTCCCTGGAGTACACATTGTGGTTTTTGAGAGAACGTGTAATAGCTTCTAGTAATCTACATTTCAGACTGGACACCAATGATAAAATACCGTTTCGAAACGGTCATGTAAAAGTGTCCACAGAGTTCACTTTACCACCAATTGTTGCGATAAACAATGTTGTTTTGAGACAGTTTCAAGCGCTATCCTGATAATGGCACAATAATGCAAATTTGCTCTCTAAATAAAAAAAATTAACTTTACTTCTTTTTTTTTTTTTTTTTTTTTTAAGAACACTTCACATTGGAAGTGAAAGATATTTAAAATATATAAAATAAAACATGACAAACAAAAACAATAAATAAATTGGAACTAAAAATCACTCAGAGCAGAAACCATAAATTCAATGGGTTACGATGTCTCTTTAAATAACATTGCCCTTCAAGAAATATGAATCAATAGAATGGAAATTATCAAATCCATTTTGTCGTGTGATTGATCGATTATTCTGACATGCAGTAAAGGTCAAAAACTGCTCAGAGGCATTATTTAGAGACTGACGCGTTAACTTCATGCACATCAGGATTACCGATAGATCCTAACTTCATCAGGAATATATATTACAGGTAAGTGGATAATGATTATGAGTCCTAAGTATTCACAGGCCTTCCCTGATGAGGTCTTTGGACTGCTTAGACATATGGTTACATGTGGAATAAGCTGTGTTAGCATTTCGCTGCCTTAATAGCTAACAGTTTCTGTCTCTGTTTTATTTTGATCTTATTCTTCTTCAGGCCCAGGTGAGGACGGAGGAGCCGGTTACAACTGCACTGAGTGAAAACATTCCCAAGTTTTACTTCCCACAGGGCCGGCCCCAAGCCAACCTCAACATCGACGGCCTCATTTCCAAAATTGAGAAAATATTTTCACAATTCCCAAATGAAAGAGCCACCATTGAAGACATGGGGCTGGTCGCCAAGGTGAGAACGTGAGCAGTCGCATCGCGGTCCGGCCGCCCACCGGCGGATTATTTTCACTGGTGCCATTTGGCTTCCGACGATTTGAATGTTTGCTGGTTTTAAAGAAAAACTCCAATTGGAAAATATCATTTCCGTGTTGCTAAGGAATGTGGTCAGCAGCCTGAGGAGCACCTGAGAGCAACGACAGCTAGGTTTACTCAGAGAAATCTGTCAATGATACAATACTGCCTTTTTTTTCCACCAAGCGTAGTTTTGAATTACAACTCCCATCTGTATTTCTTTTACATTTGCTCTATTTTCGAAGCTGCCCTTGTCATGCACTGCCTTGTTTTTTTGTCTTAGGCCTGCGAGTGTCCCCTCTACTGGAAAATGCCATTGTTCTGCTCAGCTGGAGGCGACAGGACGGGTTTCGTCTCAGTACACAAGTTTGTGGCTATGTGGAGAAAGTAAGACAATAGCTATTTTTATTCCCACTAGACCATTGGGTCATTCTCTCCCAGCTAAATAGCTCACACATTGGCCTCTGAACAATAGTGGCTGTTCACACAGGGAACATGGTCACTGAAAACACATCTTTACTGATTATTTATTTATTTATTTATTTTCCCCAGACAGATGTCATTGGCTTTAGAAAGAGCAGAGAAAGTAATAAAGAAAGTAGAGGGCAGTAAAGGGAAGAAACTAACCATTTGGTGTTTTACTGTATGAAGCTGAGATACTGTGGTTCTATGTGCTGAATGTTGCTGTGTGCAATAGTCATGCCCTTGTTTAAATGTGCGAGTCTCCAGAGAACTCGAACAGACGTGGCCTTTGACCTAAACCCATGACTAGAGCTTTCTTTGTTTGGAGGCTATAACACCCTGAGCACCTTAATCAACCAGTGCCGATGCAGAATCCTAATTTCAGAATGTATTATTCTGCACTTGTAATCTTTAGTCTCGGGAGTTAAACCTTGACTGAATGATGAAAAGTGGCTTTCGAGCCAACGAGGCAGCAACCTCACAACCATCTGTTCTCTCTTTTGCTTTTCCAGAACGCTGCAGACCTGTCACGATGATGCTTCTAAATTTGTGCACCTCTTGGCCAAGCCTGGCTGTAATTACCTGGAACAAGACGACTTTATTCCATTCCTGCAGGTACTGACTACAGCACACCCAGGGAGAGAGCAGGACTTGGCAGTGTGGGATGGCAAAATTGCCCTGGCTTGGGTGGCGCAAACTGAGCTTAATTTGCAGGATGCCCTTCTGAGACCTTCCTTGTTTATGTAAAGAAGGGAGAATTTGTGGTTTGTTTTTTTTTACATTGCCATGCAGAAGTATTTCTAATACATGTTCATATTTTGTCACATTACGACCACATACCTGTGGAGGGTTGTGTTCCAATGTGCTTCATTGCATTTCTTTTCAGTCATATCAACACAAAGCGGTGCATAATTCTGAAGTGGAAAGAAAACTGTTTTTTATTATTATTGTTATTATTATTATTATTATTATTTTCTTGTGTTGTGTACATTTGTATTCAACTCCCTGAGTCGGCACTTCATAGAGCCATGTCTTGCTGTGGTTACAGCTCCAGGTCTTTTTGGGTAGGTTTCCACTATATTTGCGTATCTAGAGATTCAAATTCTATACAGTTCTGTTCACCTGACTAAAGATGATGCAATTTGCTCTCTAATGTTCTCCAAAATATGAGTTCAACAACCAGATGCGTTTTTGCTTAGCTTAACTTACACAGACTCCTTAACTAGTTAATTTATCAACGGGTATCACATTAAAGAGCGTCAAATATATGCCACACTTTTTGTTTGTGAAAAGTGGTAAATGTGTAGTTTTCCTTCCATCTCGCTTTAGTAACTCTGCTTGTGTTGTCATTCCATCCGGCAGGTTGTTCGTGGGCCAACCCGGCCCTTCCCTTCACCTGATTCACATTCATGCTTGTGCGAGTTTTCAGTCCGAGCCGAGCGCGCGTTAGCATAGCGGCAGAGATTCCGTGTGGCACACGCTGTTTAATTTGTACGGTTCCTCCCGGCGAATCGCCTTTGACTGTTTTGATGAATGAAAGGTGGATTGCAGTGGAGTAGATTTGACTGTCCCGGCCTGTTTCCTACGCCCAGTGATTTATGTGTTTTCTATGATTTAATTTCTCCCAGTAAGAGTCAAAGAGGCATGACGGCTGCCACGGAGTAAGGCCTTTTAATTTCATTGCCACCATCGCATTTATGTCAACGCGTTCTTCCTTTGCTGGGTGCCAGGAAGGTTGGATAGAGGAAAGACATGAGGAATTGTTTTAATAAGACTGTAACTACAGTTTTGTTAGAAAACGCATGCGTTAGTGACTTCATCACATTATGAAAGTTGTAGTATTTGCTCAACTGTCTCACTTAGCGCTTTAAGATTTCACAGGAACATTTGTATTGGCCAGCTTCTCTCAGTAATCTCTGATGTGTTTTCTGCTCCCGTGAGAATTGTGACAAAACGTACAAGAGGCCGACATCTGATGTCTCTATTAGTGTGTATTCATACTCCTGTTCAGGCAGTCTTTGGGATATATCTTTCACAGATTTAAACCAGATGTGGACTGTTACTTAGCTTGTCTTTGAAAGTAATGGTGTAATTTACCAGAACGTATCTGTTAAAGTGGCGGCTGTAAAACTTCACAGGGCTAAAAATGATTATTTCTTTTGTGGAGCAAAAACTGGGTAAACCATCTGTACTTTATGCTTTCAGGATGTAGTGAACTCGCATGCAGGCTTGGCCTTTCTAAAAGAAGCACCGGACTTTCACTCGCGATATATCACCACGGTATGTGGAGAAAGAAAGCCCATTCACACGCCGTTGGTACTGAACAGGACTTTCTGTTTTTGTGTCATTTTTGGAAGTGAACACCGCTGATTCTTTTTCAGGTAATTCAGAGGATATTTTACAATGTGAACCGGTCATGGACTGGAAAAATAACCTTTTCCGAGCTCAGGAAAAGTAATTTTCTTCAGGTAAACCTCATAATTGTTATTTTTATCTTCTTGTATCTGGCGCCCCATTCAAGTTTATCCATACACCCTTTAATATTTCCACATTTTGTCATCTTACAACTATTATTTTGTTGATACTCTGTTGGACTAAAACAAAGTAGCAAATAGTTGTGAAGTAGAAGCCATATACATTGTTTTGCCTTACTTTAGTAAAAGAAAAAACTGAAAAGCCTTTGTATTTTTCCCCTCAGACGCCATCTTTTTCCATTTATCTTTGCAAAATAGTTTCAGCTGAATATAACCGGACAGTTCTGGCTTCACCACCTAAAGATAACAGTTGTTGGCTTCAATATTATTTTATCACTGAAACCACTTTTTAATTTGTATAGGTCCAGATTACATCAATGTGGAAAGATATTAAATATTGCCTTATTTTAAGTACTCATTGAATACAGAGAAAATTAATATTTGAATAGTTTAATAGGTAGTTATAATAATAAATTCTGCCACCTGTGGCCATTTGAGGCATGTTTTGTTTATCATTTTTAATCTTTTCTTTAAATGTGAACATCTCTGGAGACTCATTGTCTCAATTACAAGAGAGATCCGTTAAATACATTGACAACAAATAGCATAAAAACAATAATAATAGAATCTATTTAGCAATTCTAAAAATCAAATGTTCAGTGTGATGTCCAGTTTTGTTTTTTGCAGTTTACAACTGCTCTATATTTGTTTATTACATTAAATCTGTATAAAAAAATAAAAAAACACATTGAATTTTGTGCTTGTAAGGAGACAAACTGTGAAAACATTTCTTAACCTGGAACCTTTATGAAGACACTTTATTTAACTTGGGGATTTGTATATGTATATTTTTAGATCATACTAGACTATTGGGTTAAACGTCACATGGAAAGAAAAACCTTTTCTCGTCATTTATTTGCACAGAATGTGGCACTGCTGGAGCAGGAGGAAGATGTGAACCAGCTGACAGAATACTTCTCTTATGAGCATTTTTATGTGATCTACTGCAAGTTCTGGGAGCTGGACTCTGATCATGACCTCTACATTGACCAGAAAGACCTGGTGCGGCACAATGACCAAGGTGAACCAATCACGATCACTTCGTCACATCAAAAACTCTCCCTACCTTTTTATCCAACACTAAGCCATTAAACTTGCTCCATTTCTGACATTTTTGTTTTGTATTTCCCCAGAATTTAAATGGGCCAATAGGAGAGTTTTGTAGGACCGTATAAGCTCCTCACCCATAGCCAGTAAAATAGATTAATCTCCCCCTCTCTTCACACCACATGTTTTTAGCTGACGATTCGAGGGTGAGGCAAGGGAAATAAGACACAAGATCAATAAGGGAGCAGCGTATATACTCTGCTTCAATGACGCCATGTCTGGAACAATTTCTAACACTATGCGGTCACAGCGATGACCACCATGAGTTATGGTGCTGTCACAAAAACCGAACTGGAAAGAATGAGAACGGGGCCACATGTGTCGAGTTGTTTGGTGACCGAGAGAGACAGAGAGAGCGAGAGCTCTGTTGTAAGCGACCGCTCCGCTTTGTGTTTTGCAGCCATTTCCCAGAAACTGATTGAAAGGATATTCTCAGGAACAGTCACAAGGTGAGTCGAGTGTCAGAATATGTTGTTTTAATGTCAGCTACCAGTATTTATCTTGTTTATCTGCTGCTGTTGTCATCAGGGACAGACGGGTGTATAAGGAGGGAAGGCTAAGCTACGCTGATTTTGTTTGGTTCCTCATTTCTGAGGAAGACAAGAAGACTGACACCAGGTATCTTGACTTTTGGCCGCACTGACTGTATCATCCTACTTCCTGCTTTCTAAACTGATTGTATTTTGTCCCTTTGCAGCATAGAGTACTGGTTCCGCTGTATGGACCTGGATGGGGACGGGGTGCTCAGCATGTACGAGCTGGAGTTCTTCTACGACGAGCAGTGTCAGAAACTGGAGGCCCTGGCCATCGAGCCCCTTCCGTTCGAGGACTGCCTCTGCCAAATGCTCGACCTCGTCAAACCCGAGGTGGAAGGTCAGCGCTGTTTCACATTCATCCACATAGCGCGCAGTCTGGCTGTCCTCGGTGGCAGATGCACAGGCGCGTTTTCAGGCCAGATCATTGATCATCGGCCGAGGGAACGGTTACAGATGAGAGGACTAACTGGGCTGCCTGCGGCAAGCTGCTGGTGTCATCCACACTGTCAACAAATTCCCTCCAACACTTAACTCCTCCGCTGTGTGATTTAGAAGTTCACAGTGGGGTATGCGTGTTTAGTATTGACGGCCACTGCTGGAATGTGACCCAAGTGCAGCCCGATGGTGTGCTGCACGAGTAGAGTTGTATAAAATTACATGTAACCTGATATGGAACAACCTCTTCACCGAGATGCTTTTTTCTGAACAGTAACTAGGCAGAGCAACCTAAAGTATTCGAACAGATTGTGGTGGGGGGGGCACTTAAAATTCTTCACGTAGGTAATGTCATAAATTCAAAGAATATCCATACCGCTGCCAAGATGTGTAACTTTAAAGCCTATTGCTTCCCTGCAGCTGAGCAGAAACAGCTGAAGCCTTCATTGTCATTCCCACAAATACACTAAGTGACAAAACCGGGATTTTTGAGTATATATATCTGAATTTCAAGCAGCAGACGACTTAATACAAAACAGGCTAACCTTTGAGGAAAGGGAAATACCAGTAAATCTTTTTGTGTTTTACTAGCGTAGCGTCCAGGACAACACCATTTGTCTTCTTTCGGGATGCCCCTGATAATGATTCAAGTTATTAGGATATAGGCGAACATCAAGTCCAACTCCAGTACTTCATTAAAACCATGTACTCACAATAAACTCAGCAGCGTTATTATATTTTGTCGTAATAATGCTTTGAAAAGCACGACATTTCCGGGTACATCGGTCAATAAAGTTTATTTGTACAGTACATTTCAGCAGCAAGTAGATCAAAGTGCTTTACATCATAAAAACTTCATGAAAAGTCACAACATCTGATGATGCTTTTGGCTAGGCTAATGCTAGCACGTTTAGATGTGACTCGTTGATAATCTGACTCGCAACACACATCAGTTCCAGTTGTGCGTGTGCAGACGAGACACTAGCAAAAAATTGTTTGCATCCTCCATAAACGTTCCACTTTGAACGTCGTAAATTGTAATCGCAAGAGTTTCAGCTACTTTCCATGCAGACTGAGCATGTGCATGGTCGGTCATACAGGCTTAAAAGTCAGGTTTAGTTTCTGATAGGCGGCTGAAACACCGGCAACATTTCTTGCTCCCGTTTTAAATCCCATTCAGTACAGCATCATTGGCTAAGTTCAGTCGAAGAAATAATTGGCCCCAATATTATTTGCTACTTGGTATTTGCTGACTAATCAGGTGGTTTGTTGATTTTAACTGGTTGCAGCACAGCTTTACCAGGACCTGTAAACTGGCTGAATATTAAAACAATTAGAGATAATTCCAAAATGATAGTTTATTACAACCCAACCATACCATGTCTTTAAAGACGCAAAACTGTCTGGTGATGCTGGAATATGTTATTACTAATATGCTCAGTGAAAGCAAAGGCATAAAATGGACAAACGGTTTTCATTCTGTTCCAGAATTATTTATACTCTTGTCACATTGCACCCCAAACATCAATGCTTCCCTGGACTTTACGTGATAGGCCAACACAGATTGGTGTATAACTGTATAACCCTTAAAATAGTAGGTCACCTACTAAGTAAATCGAGTCCATCTGGATTTAATTTAAGATCACTGTAAAACCAGTTGCTTGGTTTTACAGTGGCTTTAGTGCTTTCTAAAGCCACAGTTTGGGAACTTAAGTGTCTTTAATTTTATTTATTTTTATTTTTGCATTGGGTAGATAAGATAACCCTGCGGGATCTCAAGAGGTGCAAGTTGGCCCATATCTTCTTTGACACTTTCTTCAACATCGAGAAGTACCTGAGCCACGAGCAGCGGGACCCTTTCTCTGTCATAAGGGTGAGTAAGACAGGATGGGTCAAGGTCATCCTCCCATCAGAGGTCGGTCCATTTTCTAACCACTCCTGCTTTTTTTTTTTTTTTTTTTTTTTGTTCCAAGGAGGCTGAGACGGACGGCCAGGAAGTTTCAGACTGGGAGAAGTATGCAGCAGAGGAGTACGACATCCTGGTGACAGAGGAGGCTGAAAATAATCACTGCAACGATGTGTAAGTGTGACGGCAGAAACAGCTACCGCTCCAATAACGGGACAGATTTTATTCAAATATAGACGAAGCGCAACACGTGGACGTTTGTCCACCTGTTGGAAGTCTTTCAGAATAGTTGAATCTAGGCATTTTGTGCTTCATTCGATTGTAGAAATACCATTGTGTTTTTAACCGACGATGCTTGAGACTTACATTAGTTAGAATTTAACGTTTGTTGTACATTTACTGATGCTAAAAATCGAAGAAAGAGATCTTCTTGCAGGTGTTTGACCTGAAAAGTCTGGTTGTTTTGAATTGTCTGTCACGGTGGACATTTTATGTAGCCAGCTTGCTCTGACTGAGGATAATGTGCAGCAGCAGATGAGCTCCCCCCGACCCCTCTGACAGTGAATCAGTGATTAAAAACCAGGCTGTTGACAGGCATGTTGTGTGGCACTTTTAGGAACACCACTGACCTCTAAAGACAGGCAGCTCCCCAGAGCAGGTAAGACACTCAGGGTTTTAGCAGAGCCAAAAGTTTTCCTCCTTCCACTGTTTTTTTTTTTTCCTGTTCCTTCTCTCTGGGAAAGTTTCAACCTAAACCTACCCCTAGCGTCTATCCTCTGTCCACCAAATATTCACACATTCAAGACAGAAACTAGACCTGGGAGTTTATTACCGAAACTCACAGCTTTTTACATTTAAATCTCTATTTTACATGAGGGAAAACATGAAAGCTCCTCCACATCTGTCCCTGCCTTCGTGTGGTGCTCCTGTGTCCTTTCCGGTTACACCTGCTTGCTCAGAGACGCGGTTCAACGTCATGGATAAATCTATTTTACTTGCTTTCTTGCCACGACGACTAATTTCACTCAGTCCGACTTTTGGCGTCCTTTAAAGATTTATCGGCACGATGCGGTAAGTTTGTGGAAAAACGGCAAGTCTCTCAACGAGAAACCGTCTCCTGCTGCCAGGTTTGATTATTCTTCAACTCCTGGCAAGAAAGCAAACGTGTTTCCCGCCTGTGTTCGTAGCATTTACCCCATTCTGCTGTCGAATGTGTAGAAATGGCACAAGTTGGAAATTCATTTGAAACTATATGTATTTTAATCATTCTGTCAAATTTAGCTCACACACAGTGAAATCCAGAAGTGTTAATACCCCTTGAACTTGGTTGAAATGCTTTGTCATATTCCAATCACGAATTGTCCTGTTTTACGTTTCGGGCCAAAACAAATTCAGTTCAATTCAAACCTACTTTATTTGTCCCAAAGGGGGTAAATAAATAATCTACTTCATTTGCTTTTATCACTTATTTTTTAAAAATCTTTTTCTGGTTATATGGTTAGATGTTGAAGTAGATGTGATCTTGCCTCCTCCATTTCAACTCTAGGATTTGGGTTCATACTTCAGAGTATTATTTGAGCTGCTGCCACAGATATCAATTGTCCAAAAATCATTTTTTTAAAAATCCTTCCAGCTGCACAGCATCATAAACCAGAGGAAACAATTAGAAAGATTAGAAAAAAGATTATAACTTTTTTTTCTTTCCTTTAGAGAGCTACACTAACATACTACCACCATGAGTCGCGAAGTTCTAGAAACTCATAGATGTGAAGTCAAAGAGAAATTGTGACGATCTGGAAATAGTGGCATGCTTTGGTATTCTGCTCAGAGCGTCACCTTTCATCAGGAATCAAAGATCTGCGTCTAAATCCCACTAATAATCTGTTGCAATGAATGGAGAACGATTTCAGTGTTCAGATGTCAGAAAATCGTGCATCATTATCCTTCCGCTTTGCATTGGTCCATCCCAAAAAAAAAAAAAAATCCCAATAAAATCTAGTCCAAAGGTTGTGAATACTTTAGCAGGACACATACCTGTTAGAAGAGCCTGCCAATCGACAAACTTTCTGTGGATTGGCGGACTCTTCCAACACCGTCGTAAGTCTTGGAATACATTTTTACCACGATTGTTTAAAATCCAGCATTAATTAAAAGCACCTCGGCGTCCTGTAGAGAATCTCCAGAGGATTTATTGGTATCCAACAACTATGTTATTGGTAATCCCCGTCTCCTTGTGTCTGTTTAGGTACGATAATCCCTTGAGCCCACTGGGGCAGCACATCTCCAGCGAGTTGGGTCTGACGAAGAGGCACTTCTTTGAGATCCCCACGCCACACTGCAACCTGGACATGGCCGAATACGAGTACGAAGACGACTTCGAATGACGCTCCCTCCTCTTCCGTATATACAGTAAAACGTGACGCGGCTATGAAAACGGCGTCGCGCCAAAAAAAAAAAACAACAAAAGAAATCGGCAGACTCCAGACTCAAAAACCAGAAGGCGCCTTAGACGTCTCGGAGTCCCGCACGTCCAACGAACGAATGGTCAAAAAGTGTGTGGCGCTGCAAGGTTTGCAGCACTCAGAGGCAATTTTATATTTTCATGTGTCACACTTAAAAAAAAAAAATCACCAGCGATGACTTAATAATGTTGAAAGCTGTAACTCTTTCTTACTTTTCTTTCTTTCACTATTGCTCCCCTCCTCATGTTAAGAAGCCTTTACCGTCACGGATCATTCAGGGAAAGTCCTGCTGCACCAAAACATCGGAGTTGCCAAACGGCATTAGTTCTACACCAGATCTCCCTGAATAGTTTGAGACCTTATTGATTTCATTCAGGGATCAGATTTATTGGCTAATGTTACATTCCAGTAATCATATCAAAGGGGTTTTTTCTACAAGGCTGTAAATGCTTAAAGGGTCTGTTGCTGTAAACTCCTAACGAGCCACAGTCTAAGCCTTCTGCTAGCCATTCACACGACCACACACACACACACACACACACACACACACAAACCACATACTGTACGTGTCTGCGTTCATTAGGACTTTAATGTAGAATTGGGTTTCTAAATTATTTGAGATGAATTTATAAAGTACTGTACATATTTATTATGAGTTTGCCGTGTTGTAAATGATTTGGGGTTTTAGACATTTTTCTATGGTACAGAGAACTTTGCGTGAATGTGCTTTGAGAGGAAATAAAGGAACATTTATTTGTTTTTGGTTTTTTTTTTTAATTAATAATGAAGCTTTAGTTACAACAGTAAAGGAATAGTGCTGGTTTTTATACTATATGACTAAATTCATCTGAAAAGAATGTGGGACATTCTCTGAATGTATGATTTTCTTGTTTTGTTTAGTTTTGGGGTTTTTGCCCCATGTTGCTCTGTCACCGTTGTACTTCTGCTGTGCACTCAAACCTGCATAAATGTTCCGATGCCAAAAACATAATTTTTTTTTTTTCTTTTGCATTTTCCACATGGGTATGAAGTAAGAAGGCAAACACTGAGAAATGTTTTGTACATTTAGATAAAGTGGCAGAAAGGAAAACTGAGCAATGATTCAAAAATGATGGCATTGGTATCACGAGGAAAATTCAGTATGATTTACGGTGGTACTGTAAAGATAAATTCAACATTAGCGTTCAATCTTTCTGTTGGACTAATATTTGAAATATTTTAGCTAGTTATTAAAGGGACACTTAATTTTACTGATCAACACTGAATGTCTCAACTGGGTTTAAGAGTCATTTAGTTGCTTTGTAGAAAAAAAACTCATGAGAAATAAACTTTCTATAGAATAAAATACATTCAAGTTTTTTTTTTTTATTTGGTCAAGGAGTGAACGTTTCAGTAAGAGGCTACAGGAATCGTTTTATTCAAATTATTTATGTCACAAATAGATATAAACCGTCAAGACAATAAATAATTGCCAAGAGAGCCAATGAAATCCGACACCGATATAAAAAGCTGAATTGATGAACTTGAAGATGCATTTTATATTACAGCACTGTTTTTAAAAATATATATATAATAGTCACATAATACAAACAGTCCTTGATGTAAAATCGTGTAGGCGTAATCAAACCCTGATCGACCAAAAGGTTTAAAAGACACTTTCAAACTCATCCTGTGATGACCGCTGGAGCCGCGTCGCACTTTGATACAACATAAATCCACCGTCACAAATGATATTTATGAGGCCAGAGGAGGAAAAAATGCCAACTTCACTGCTACAGAGTTGGTCACTCTTTGCTGATGCGTCCAAAAGGCGTTCTGGACAGTTTTACTCATCAGCCCAGGTGTGTGTTCTGTTCTGAGGCAGCAGCTACTTGGTTCATACACTCAAGAATTTACAACCTGTTATAAGTTTGGAAATACAAACTTTTTTCTGTGATTTTTGTAAAATGGTCAGCGTGTTTCATTCTTATTCTGCCTTAAACACAACTTTAAAAAAAACACAAAAACAAGTACGCAAGCCCTGTTTTATCACATGATCTTTGGGTTTTAAAGTAATCCTAAGAAAAAAAAAGTTATTTAGCGTCATTTACATTAAGCATATTTTTGAGTGAGGAATTCCAAACTATCCAGATGTTGCTATACATTTTCAAGCTTCTCTGTGCTTCAGCGTTTCCGGTTATTCTGATATTTTTACATTTTTCTTGAAAGTATTCAGTCTCTGAAAGTCAGTTCAGTCTTAAATGGGTGATTTCCACAGGGTTCCCACACGTCTCCATTTTAAATTTCCAGACCTTTCCGGTCTCAGTTTTCTAGATTTTTCCAGCAGTCTTGCCAACATTACATCCACCTGCTTTTTTGACGACCGGGAATAACGCACCATTCAGATTTTTCATTATAGGGTTTAAATGTAGGTCCTTAGAAGCACAGTTCATGATATTCAGTACATTCTTCTGATTCTACAAAATAAAAATTTATGTCAAAAATTCAATTTCTGTCAGGAAAAACTAAAACTTCCCTTTTTCCCATTCTTGGGTGCATTCAATTTTGAGTTTTCAATTGGTAAAGTTTGTAATGAAGCAAACTAGAATATCATCAAAATATTAATCCCAATGTTTCCCTAATGTATTTAGAAAGTTGAACCCAGGCAGGAAACATATTTTTTCATTGTTAGTTTGGTATTCTCTGTACTTATCCAAGCCTGGAAAGCTGTAAAAGCAAAATTCATCACTTTTCAAGACTGTACAGGAGCCCTGTATCCTTTTATAAATAAATAGTGTTTCTTAATTTGGCACTACTTTAACTACCAGCTTATGTCGTGTATCAAGTATCGCTAGCAACAAAAAAAAAGTGCTGTAGGATATGACAAAAAAAAACCCTGTAAATAACACAAACAGCATTAAATCATAAATAACATGATTTGGTTTGGGGGATTTCGGTCATATTTTCTTCCCTCTTTTAGAAATTATGATACAGATTGTTTAAATCTAACAAAACATTGGAGTCTGGATCTCTGCACAACCTGACGAATGCTAGTTATCAGGTGACTGGAAGTCCGGTCCGGGCGGGTGAGACGGTCCGCTCCCACTTCCCGGTCCTCACAGCTCGATGTCCACGCTGCCGTCGCCCGACTCGCTGTCGTTGCCGAGGACAGTGGCGGCCATGTCGAAGCTTCTTCCGGGGAGCTCCGGAGGGACGGAGAACGGATCCACGTCGCCCGGGTTCACCTGAGGACTGAGGAAGCGGTTCGGGTAAAAATAATGTGGAGAAAAAAAAAATAGCTTTTGTGAATCGTTTTAAAAAATAGTTTCGTCACCCGTGGCCGATGCTGGGTTTGTTGACCTTAGTAAGTTGTTCAGCTGGGCGACCTTGACACGGGGACTTGTGTCCTGAAAACATTGTTAAGAGATAAAACGTGTTGGCCACCAACTTTTCCAGAGTCGGTTCGTTATGGTCATTTTAAAATATGAAACACTAAAGTTCACCATTAAAATTCTGACAGAGGAAAGAAAAAAAAGGAGACAAAATGGAGGAAAACAAGAAGAAAGAGCAAGAAGGGAAGAAGGAAGGACACAGGGATGAAAGCAGTGAAGGAAAAGAAACTACAAAAAAGGAGACTACAAAAGGAAGGATGAAGTGAAGGAAGTAAGGGAAGCAAGGCGGGGAGGACGGATACGATTAAGAACAGAAAAAAGTAAGAACAAAATATATTATTCATCTTAGACAATGAAGAGAAGAAAGGAAGAACGAAAAAAAGAAAGTAGGATAAAATAAGAATATATAATGACAAGGATGCATGGATGGAAAGGTCACAAATAAAAGAAAGAACACAAAGAAAGATAAGAGAAGGGAAAGACAAAAACGTGAAAGAAAGCAGAGATTGAAGGACGAAGAAGGGAATCAAGTCTGGAAATATTTTCCCCGGCTCTTCTTTCGTTTCTCCAGACTTCCCCAGAACTAGAAGATATTTCAATCAAATCACCTGCTTTTCTAGACTAAGTCGGAGCCCTCGCTCATTCTGCAAAGACAGGCGCAGGGTCATACCTTCCAGTTTCTGTTTGGAGACAGGAGAGCGACTGTGAAGGCAGGGCCTCCTGTCTGAGCTCACATACGACACGGCGTCCTCCATTTCTGCCACCGCCAATAAAGACGCGCGGTAGTAGATGAGCGGCTGCCAGCAGTCCTCCCTGAGGTCAATTATGTGCTCTGCTGTGTGTTTTTGCAGGTAGGAGAGCCTGAGAATACAGAGGGAGGGAAAATAAAAAAATAAAAGAGTTTGAGAAATGTCAAAGTTCATATCCGTCCAAGTTGCCCGTTGATTGCAACACTCACACTGCCTTCTTGTCTGGCTTGAGCAATTTGTTGGAGAACTCGCTAAGGATGGTCAGGTAGGAGAGGTACGGAGGTGTTGCGTTGTCTGGAGTCTGTCTGAATTCTTGGAAAACAAACTCCACGCCGTTCCTGAACACAGTCGCACGGGAACTTGAGCCGAACGGAAATGGGAACCGACACGGATCCGACAACAGTCGGGAGACGCGAGGAGCGCCCGGCTGACCTGTGGATCATGACGAGACACTCACGAAACTTGACAAGGTCTCCGAATGTGAGGGCGAAGCGCCTGGCCAGCTCCTTAATGCAGGTGAAAGTCTGCACTCTCGAGTGAGCCCGGCCACCGCTCTCTTGTTCCCTCTTAAGCTGCACAAACAGCTGGGGAGAAGTGAAAAAAAAAAACATCAGCAGCTGTGCTGACAGAAGAGGAGGTTGGTTTTTTTGTTGTTGTTTTGTTTTCGAATGAGCAAACCGTGTTTTACCTGCTGCAAGCAGAGCACCAGAGTGCGAGTGCTCTCTATTTTATCCGTCTGTCTGGTCCTGTAAATCGTTTCCTTGATGATGTCGCCGAAGTCGCTGTAATGCTGGGGACGAAAAAAAGAAATAAATAGTCATTTTTGCAATACGTTACCGAAAGACGCATCATTTGACGTCGTGTAGCACCAGCAGACAGCTGAGAATGTGCACAAGTTTTAGGAAATATTTGAGACTGCAACTTAAACTCAAAAGTTAGGTTTACTTGGAACCCTAACATCTTATTGCAACACTGAAACATGACCTACTAATCAGTACTTTTGACCGTTTGCATTTCTTTTAAGTAAAATCATTTCTTTTAAGTAAAATCCCCCAGCCTTACTGCAGCTGACCTGCACAATGATGCATGTTTGACACATGCCCTAATAAAGCATTCTACAAACCAGAACTGCAAAAAAGTGCTTAATTATGCCATTACCAATTACGCCTAATGTCACTAATTTACATTTAAGTGCACTGGACATTCGAATGAACAATCTGAATTCTGTCTTTTTAGAAGAAACATTATTTCAGGAAGCTGGAGATTATAACAGAGGCAAAAATACATGTCCACCCTGTTATGAAACTTTTTGTTCAGTATCAGAACAGAAAAATAAAAAGTAAAAATACAGCAGTACTTTACTACTAACACTACGATAATTAATAAATACACTGGTTTCTGACTTGAATGTGTGCAACTCCAGTTCGATGTCTTTGACAGGAAGTTCAACTTCCGAGGCAAAATGAACGCATCACTAGACCCAGAATTGTCAGGTGGTATTCTTGTTTCTCTTTGATTGTACTTAACGCACTACAAGAATTCATGGGAGTCATTTTAATTTATGAATGGGTGACTAAGAGGGGGGGTAAAAAAATCACAAAAAGCATCCAAACTGATCTGTTTTTTTTTTTTGTTTGTTTTACTTCTTTCCTGTGTTGGGGGGGGGAAATTGCTCGCTTGAAAAGTATGCATGATAACGAAATACCAAATATCCTGCAAAAGCAAAGGACATATGATACAGAAGTGAAAAAGTTGAGTCAAATAAATATTCATCAACATGTTACGTTTTTTCAGAAATGTCTATGATGCCTCTTAAAAAAAAAAAATCCAAGCAAAATATTTATTTATTTAGTGACCGAATTTGGGAAGTAAAATTTAATTCCGCTCACACAAAATATAAAGAAACATAGAATGCACAAGTTTTTGTTATTGTATCAAATATAATAATATATATAATAACATATATATATATATATATATATATATATATATATATATATATATATATATATATATATATATCTTAACCCTATCAGACAAAAGAACTTCATTGATTTTTGCAACAAAAAAAACAAAAAAAATCATAACAATGAATCTATATGTATATGCGAACATGAATAGATGCGATCTCTGGCATCCAACCCATGTGACGGCGTTAACCTTCACCTTCATGTAGTGCGCGTAGATTCCCGCCGCCGCGCTCATCTCCAGCACTCCGTGTACGA